ACTGATATGGGCAGGCGCGCGTTTGCCATGTCTCCTGCTTCGCGGCGGTGGTTGCATGCGACGGGCCCGCCGCTTTTTGTCGCGTGGGTGACGCGCCCCTTCTCGCGGTCGGTGCGCAGAGCGCGCGTTGCGATGGGTCTAGGTCGCGGCCGAGAGTGGACAATTTGGATTCTCTTGCGTTGAGCCAACCATGCAATCATCATCATCACTCCTCCTCCTCTCCCCTCTCCTTTTCTCGTCTTGCTCGTCATCCTTCCTGTTCCGCCTCCTCCTGGCCCCCCTCCTCGCCCCCCGATTCGCGCCTGTTCTTTTTGTCTGCTCTGCTTCCCGCCGCCCCCCTGCCCCTGGCCGGCTTGCGGGTTCGTCCGCGGACTCTCCGGGGGAGGCCCGCCCGCTCGCGGCTGGGCGCTGGGCAGCCGGGGCCCGGTCCGCGAAGACAGGGGGCGCAGCCAGGTAGTATTCGAGGCGGGAAAAACCCTGACATTCCATGTTTTGGTTTTTTACCGAACGGCGGTTCTTGCATTTTTTTCCCGCTGGCCTTGTTTCTTGGGTAATGTATTGTTTTTTCTTGTGCGCGCATTGTTTGTCTGTGCGATTTTTTTGCGGTGTGAGATGTCTTGCGTTTTGTGAGTCTTCTTATTCTTATCATTTCCTTAGTGTGTGTTTCCTTCTTATTATTCTTTCTCTTCTTCTTTCTCTGTAGCATGTGTTTCTTGTGTGCCGCCTCGTCTTCTCTTCGCGCGGCGTCGTGGAGATTGACCGCGACCGCTTTCGCTCAGCGCAAAATATCCTCACTCTTTCTAACTTCCGCCCTCCAACTCCATCCCCCCTTCCCCCCCTCCCGCTCTTCCTTCCTTCCCAGCGCCACGGCCCGCCCCCCCCCCCCCCCCCACCACTCCTCCTTCTCCTCCTGATCCGCACGATCCTTCGAACATTTCGAGGCTCCGCTCCTCCCTCCCTCCGCATCCACCCACCCCCCCCCCGCCCGCCCTCGCCCCCCTCCCCCCCCTTGCAAGCCCAGGCATCCGACGTCTCGAGTTTTTTCCAGAGTTAACGGGATCCCGACGTGTTTCGCCCCGAGTTGTTTTTTGACGGTCCCGAGGCCCAGCGAGGCCCCCGAGCCGAAAACGACGAAAAAACCTCCATCTCGATTTTTTCGAGCTGGCCGATGTCGAAGGCGCGAAGATAATAGTGATCAAGCGCTCCGTTCCCTTCGCGCTTGCGCGCGAAGGGGCGGGGCGCGCCACTTTCGCCGCGCGCCCTGCCGCGGGCCCGAAGGCCGCGGGCCGCGCGGGCCCCGCGGCATCGCCCGGCGCTACGCGGCGCTGCGCCGCGGGCCGCGGCCCGGGGGATCGACGGGGGAAGGAGGAGGAGGAGGAGATGGAGAAGGAGGAGGAGAAGGATGAGGAGGAGAATGGTGAAGGAGGAGCCCTCAGGAGGAGGAGGGGGGAATCGAACAGATGGTTGAGGATCGGGCTCGGGGGTCCCTGAGCCGGATCCTCAACTCAGGGGCCCTTGAGCCCGATCCTCAACCATGCGATGCCCTCGAGGGCATCGGCCCAGACCCGTTCGAGGCCGGGCGAGGCGGAGGATGGGGGGGGCGCAGAGGGAGGAGGAGGAGGAGGGGGGGGGCAGGAGAAGGAGCACTCGAGTACATATAGGAGGATAGGAGGAGGAGGAGGAGGAGGAGGAGGAGGAGGATGAAGAATATGATATGATGAATGATGATGAGGAGGAGGAGGAGGAGGAGGAAAGGAGGGGAGGATAGGAGGATGTCCCTGAGGCATTTTTTTCGGAGGAGAGGAGGAAGTGTTGGAGGCAGGAGGGGAGAAAGGAGGAGGGAAGGGCCCCTTCTCTTCCTCCTCCTCCTCCTCTTCCGTCTCCTCTTCCTCGGCTCGATCGATCGATCGATCCTCCTTCAGGGGCCTTCTTCAGGGGCCCACTCCTTATTTTTCTTATCCTCCTCCTTCACCTCCTTCCTTCTCCTCCTGCTCTCCTCTTGCTCTACTCCTCCTCAGCCTCATCGATCCTCCTCGTCATCGATCCGCCTTCTCCTCGATCCTCCTTCTCCTCTTCCTCCTCTTCCTCCTCCTCCTCTTCCTCCCCCTCCTCCTCCTGCGCCCGATGCGCCTTGCCAGGCGATGGGCGCCAAGAGGATGCCGATGCGGGTCCCGACTGTGAAGCTCACGCCGCAGATCGAGAGCGCGGCTGCGGAGGCGAGCGGACCCTCGAATCTTTCAGAGTATACTCTGACATATTCGAGCCTGCCCAACTCCTCCTCCTGAGGCCTCCTCCTCCTCCTCCACTTCCTTGATCCTCCTCCTCCTCCTCCTTGATCCTCCTCCTCCTCCTCCTCGTCCTCCTCCTCCTCCTCCTTCTCCTCCTCCTCCTCCTCCTCCTTCCTCCCCCTCGAGGAAGGAGGAATGAGGATCCCCAAAGCCCGATCCCCAACCAGTTTCGATCCCCCCTCCCCCCTCGAGGGGGGATCGAAACTGGTTGGGGATTCCCGCAGGCGCTGAAGACGGCCGTGGAGATCCACGACGTGGTGAGCATCGACGGCGCGGGGAAAAAAAAAAAATGGGGAAAAAAACCCCCGAAAGAAAAAAACGATCAGGTAGCGAGGGGTCCAGGGGGGAGGGATCATGGAGGGGAGGGGGGAGGGGGGGGGGGGGGGATCCAGGGATGGAGAGATCAGGATCGACGGCGGCGGGGATGAGGACGGTCCAGGCGAGGGGTCCAGGGGGGGAGGGATCAGGGAGGGAGGGGGGGAGGGGGGGGGGGGGGATCCAGGGATGGAGAGATCAGGGGAGCGGCGAGAGCGAGGGGTCCAGGGAGGGCGGGATATTGCACGCGCCACGTGTCGATGCTGCTACTCTCAGCAGGTGCTGCTGAAGTGAACCACTGCTGGCTCGAAGCTGGTGCCGCGATGCTGTGGGCATGGCACGTTGGCTCAGATGCGTGTTCGACGTGATAAAGTTTGAACTCGAGGCAGCGCCGTTGCCTCGAGATCAGGGGCGCTGCGGATCGAGCGGGGGCGGCCGATCATGGAAGGCGTCTTCTCTTCACGTTGGTTCGGGCCCCTGTTTAGGGGGGGGGTTGTTGGGCGGGCAAGGGGGAAGAGGAGGTGAAGGAAGATGATCATCTTCCCTCACTTCCACCGCAGGTTTTCGAAATCGGTTTCGAAAACCTGCGGTGGAAGGATGGCGGAATGAGGAGGCGATGCTGAGACGGATCGCCAGTCGAGGATATGCATGTCATATGCACCAGCTCGGAGGATGAGGGGAATGAGGCGAGGGCGCGTGCCCCCCCCCCCCGCGAAGTGCCGCCAAGTCACGGCCTCGATCGAGGCTGGAAGTGACGCGGGCGCTCGAGTGGCATGATGTGCGTCTCCGAGGGGCGGTGGGGGGGGGGGGGGGGGGGGGGCCAAAGCGGTGCTGATAGGATTCATCCCCTGGACAACGCCCCGACTTGGCTCGACGATGTTACGTCTGTGCCCCTCGTTGCGGCCGGGGGCTGCCATCCCAGACGATGCCGCCCCGAGGGCTGCCATCTCTGTCCCACGCCCGTTCCCCAAGTAGCAAGTGCGAAGGGGGGGGGGGGGGGGGGGGGGGGGCAGAGGGAAGGGAAGGAGGGAACGCGGGAGGAAGGATGGCAGAGGAATGACTGAAGAAAGGAAGAGATACGGGAGGAATAGGCGAGGACGGACGGAGGCAAGGAGGGCGGAGGGAGGGAGGGCGGGAGGGGGGCAAGTACGGAAGGGGCGGGATAGGCAAGTCAAGGGATCGATGATGGGGGGCGGACAAGGACCGAGGGGAACCTATAAAGACTTGAAGATTCACCACAGAAAAAAATAGCAAGGCATGCACAACAAACGTAAGGCATAACCCAAACAACAATACCAACGACCATAACAAACCATACAGGTGGTTTCATACATCACAAGAGATGTCAGGGTACCCCGACTTGTCGATCGGAGCGGCGCGATTGATGGGCCCCTCGGCGCTGCCAGGTCGAACCTGCAACGTAACGTGTCGTGTGCAGCGAACGAGCAGCAAGAAGCGAGCGAACGAGCGAGCGAACGAGGTGGCCACCGATGCGATCCGTAGACATCGGCTCAGTCTGCGTCGGCTAGCAGATCCGACCCCCTTCCACAGGGACTGCGCGCAGGGCTGTCGACCCCGAGGGGGTCGGCTGGGACTGCGCGCGGGCCGTCGGCCCCCAGGGGGTCGGCTGCGACTGCGCTCTGGGACAGCACGTCGGATCCCAAGGGTTCGGCCGGAACGCCCTGCGCGCGAACAGTGGGCCCCCAGGGCGTCGGCTGGCCTGCGCGCGGCGCCGTCGACCCCCGAGGGGGTCGGTTGGGGCTGCGCGCGGGCCGCCATCCTCATGGGGGTCGGCTGGGACTGCGCGCTGGGGCCGTCGGCTCCAAGAGGGGTCGGTTGGGGCGTCCTGTGCGCGGGCCGTCGGCCCCCAGGGTGTTTGCTGGCCTGCGCGCGGCACCATCGGCTCCCAAGGGGGTCGGTTGGGGCCCTCGCGCCTGGGTTCAAGATGGCTGCGGAGCCGCTGGTTTGGAGATGCTCGTGGCCGAGCCCGCTCCTGCAAGCGCCCCGCCTCCAAGCTCAGACGGGGGCGCTGGCCTCCGACGCTACCTGTTATCTCCCTGGAAGCAGGGCCTCATGACAGCTAAGGGCATCAGCAGCGTGGCTTACCACAGCGCCAACGCTGGGGCGACGGGGGTCGCCGATCTCGCTTCCCCGCCGGATTTCACGAACCACGCGCGGCACGTCGGGGGGGTGCTCCAGCTGAGGGCCCAGGAAGTTTTCTTTTCAACTGGGATCATGTGTTGAGACAAAAGGACAGAATAACGGGCGTGTATCAATTTCCCATTTCATCTGTCACATGAAGCGTTCAGTTTGAGCTGCAGGGCCGACCCCGATGATTTTAACGCGGCGCGGATCGCGCCTCCGCCGATGCGGGCGAACCACGCTGTGACGCAAAAGGTCGGCGTGAATCGCAGCGCGCCCGTCGGGCACTACAGCGACGGCGCCCCTCGCACCAAGAAAGACAGCCTCACAGCCTTTTATTGGTCCAACTGCATTTCGAAGCAGCGCCATTTGATCACAGCCGTTCGCAAGAGCGGCTTGCGCGGCTGCGGCTGCCGCGGCGTTTGCACGATCGACGGCGCAATGCAAGTCATCGTGTGACGCCTGAACTGCGCCGCCGACGGCCACTTCCCTGAACGGGGCCATCGCAATTTGCCGTTCGAGTCGGAGATCCGAGCCGCCAGGCGCGGCTTCCCCCTTACCAGCGGCATGTGCGGTGCCCTGGTGGAGATGCGGGCAGACCTATTGGAATTCCAGCAGTCGCTGGGGTTCAGGCGTTGGGATAACCCCCGCGCTCCATGCGTTTGCTGCAACTGCAGCAGGGGCGAGCTGTTCTCCTACCCGCTGACGCTCGACGCTTGCGAATGGGTCGACAAGGACGCGGCCATGTGCGACGCAGTGGTCCAGGGCGATGTCAAGGTAGCGGCGGCGCGCGACAGGCGCCAGCTGACGCAACTGCTGGCCCTCATGCGGCACGACCCAGAATTCAAAGGATATGGTTTGTCCAAAGCGTTTGGCCTTCTGGGCTTACCCAGAGGCACGCGATTGGTTCACGCTGGGCAAGTAAATGATACACACACTGTGTTACAAGATGTCACGGATTTTTCTGCACAGCTTACCTTTTTCGATCGCCAGAATGCCGTTGGACTGATGCATCTGGCGCCGATTATTGGTGTCGTAGGATTCTGCATCGAGATGCTGGCCCTGGACGCTATGCACATTCTCGACCTAGGGGTTTCGCAGTTCCTAGCCGCCGCCGTCGTCCTGCACCTCCCCCAGGCGAACTTCGCCAACAGCACGGCCAGCACTGCTCTCCTCAGGTCTCGGCAGAACATGCTGTTCCTCCGTAGGAGGATACGGAGCTATTATATACAGCGCAGGCAGCTCTTCGCGCGGGGGGGGAAGTCGCAAATCCAGCGGATGACCTTGAGAATGCTCGGGCCAGCTGACAACCCGCGATTGCACGCGAAGGCTGCGGAGACACGTGTGCTCATCCCCTTGCTCGTGGATTTGTGCACGGAACACGCTGAGCACTTCCAGGACGGCCCCGCTGTGTTCTTGCCATTCGCAGCTCGTGCAATGAATGAGTTTTACAAGATCGTGCGCGGAGGCGCCGTGGAATTGACGGCTGCCCAGCAGCGCAGCATGGAGTCTCATGTGCTCGCGTTCCTCCATTATTGGAAAGGCTACCAAGTGCGCTAAGCTTTTAAGTTTCACACGTGCGCGCATTTAATAAAACGCTCCCGCGCGCAAGGGAACCCGCGGCACGATTGGGCATGCGCCGGCGAAGGTGAAAACAGAGTGATGGCTCTTATTGCACGTTCTTTGCATCGCGGGTCGAATTTCTATTTCGCCTTCCTTGAGCGGGCGCTTGCTGATATCTGTTGAACGCTTCCTTGGCATCGCTCGGCGTGTGAATTTTTCCTTCGGCGAGGACCAGCGAGGAGCATCTCGGATCATTTGTCAAAAAAGTTGCGAATCGAAGTTGCTACCATATCGTGTTGACTAGCAGCAGCGTCGCAAACCCTGAGCATGGCCACGGTGGCCCCGCCGCGCCAGCGTCCGCAATCGCGAGCTCGCGGCAGGGCCGTGGGATTCACGCCAGTTCAGTTTGCCCAAGTTAAGCACGCGCGGCAGGGCCATGGGGCCCTCATTTTCTCTGCCGTTCCCGAGGCAGGAACGCGCGGCAGGGCCAGGGAGGCCGATTTGATTTTGATTGCGCATGCGTTTTTCGAGCAGGCAGAGCATTAGAGTGAATCCTTTTGTTTGGTGAACCCCTCGCACGATTCGTGGCCCTTCTTCCTCCTCCTCCTCCTCCTGCCCCTCCTCTGCCCCCGCAGCTGCCCAGGCCCTAGCTTCCCCGAGTCTCCGAGACCTCGAGCTTTCGAGCCTCTTCGAGGCGCCGAGCCGTTTCGCCCCAGGGGCAGCGATAGCGGGGGATAGGCGTGCCGAGCCTGCCCAGGGACGCGCGGATTCACGATCGGGCGCGCATCGCCGATGCATCGGCGATGCGTCGCCGAGTCCAGGTCGATGTCCCCCTCCCCAGTGCCTCCCCCCACATCGTTGCCCCTGGGTGCGTCGCGGGCCCCAGCGATGCCCCGGCCCGCCGAGCGCGCCGCGGCGGCGAGACCCCCCGTCGGGGCCCTCAGGAACGTCGCGACCCCGAGCCCAAGCTCGAACGATGTTCTCGAGCGCATGGCCATTGGCGAGAGGCGCCAGCGCCAATCGAGCGCGCAAGGCGCGGATGCAGCGAGGGCGACGGCTTGCTTTTCCAAGGCCGAGAGCGCCTCGTGGTCAAGCAGCGCCCAGCATGCCGTCTTCGAGGTGGTTTTCAACGGCGGGTCTTTCAAGATCATCGACTACGGCCGCATCTTCAACGAGAAGGACAAGAGGTGCATCAAGCTGGCCGCGGCGTTGTTTTACAGGCCTTACTGCGAGAATGACGAGCACGTCTACGACGTCTTCGAGAACCGCGGAGAGCCGCCCGAGGACCTCTTCTGGCTCACGCCGAGCTTCAAGGCCAAGATGCAGGAGCTTGCCGAGAAGAAAGACATGGAGCTTGGCGCCGAGAGCGCCACGAGTCTCACCCACGGCTCCTGCGCCGGGCGCGTGGGCAGGGCCTTCCCAGACACTTCCGCCGAGCTCCTCCACCTCCACGACCTAGCGTTGCCGATCAACAAGATGTTCGAGCCCGTCGAGCAGTGGGGCGAGGGGCCCTCCGGCAATGCCGAGCAGCTCTTCGAGTCGATTCCGAACGAGGCCCGCGCAGTGCGTCAAGTGGTGCTACGAGCGCGCCCTAGTCTCGAGCAGTGACGGGGCCGCCAAGGCCACCGCGCAAGCGATCGCCGGGCGGCGCTGGGCAGCCAAGCGGAGAGCCGACATGGATTTCGAGGTCCAGGGGCGGAGCTACCAGGGCAAGCGCTCCGAGCTGGATTACTCGAAAACCGCCAAGCAGCAGGAGTGCGAGACAAAGCTTCTCGACGCGCACATCAACGCGGATTTCAGGACGCCCGCCAAGACCCACGCCGATCGCGACCAGCTCGTCGCGAACAAGCGCGAGGACGAGTGGGGCCGGGCCGACGCGAAGGCCGAGCCAGAGGCCGCTCCGTTCATGCCCGTGGGCGCCTGAGAGCCCAGCGCACGAGCGCCCCGAGCCGGGCGCTCAGATTTCTCCTCGCTACGAGGGGGCCGTTTCGAAGCACGCGCTCGAGCCCCATCTGTTTTTCAAGCTCCAAGAGAGCGCTCGAGCGCGCGCGAGTGGCGTTCCAAGCCGCGGCGCGCTACGCCCCTCTCGTCGAGTGATCCTCGATCAAGCATCGAGGAATCAAGCAGGCTCGATCCCCCATCCTCGGATCGATGATCCGAGATCTTGAGTCCGAGCACATTCGGGCACCTTGGATCCTAGATCCGAGGGCCGCCAAGCTTTTCTATACATATATATAACGAGGAATGTCAGGGAACGTCGCAAGGGTGCAAGCGTTCTCCCCCGCGCGTCGGAAGGGCGCATTCGGCGCCCCATTTCGATCCTCCAGCGCCCCCCTTCCTCCACGCACCCCCCTGCCGTCCCGCGGCCGTTTTGGCTCGAGCAAGCCGGGGAACAGAAAACGCATGAACGCATTTTTGTCGGAGGCCCGCGCGGATTTCTGGGATCGGCGATGGGCCCCCTCCTTGGCGCGCGGGGCGCGCCAAGGGCGGCGCCCCGGGCGCCGCCGAGGGGGTCCAGCGCCGATGCGGGCCTCCGACAGTTTGCGTTTACTTTTTTTTTCTTCTTCTTTTTCTTTTCAAGCAAGATCGTTCAGGTCGTCAAGCGTCTGTGCGCAGTCTTCCCTGGAACGCCGTGGAGTGTTTCAGCGACGTCGTCGCCAGGTTGAGGGGGGCTTCTGCGCCTGAGTGCTCGGCCAGTCGACCGGCCCTGGACAGGGCAACATAATTCTTCAAAACGATCTTGGGTGATAGAACGCAAGCCATCGTTGCCGAACACAGCAACCAGCTTCTGCGACAAAACTACCAGGGAGACGCCACTGCCTCTTTGCAGCGCGTCGTTGGCCAGGTTCCGCGCGAGAAGGCAGGGGCAATGTTCAGTTGCTGTGCTAATGTATGGTTGATAATGCCACGGGATATATACGCATAGCATAATTGAACAAAGGGGGGGGGGGGGGGGGGGGGGAAACGGGCATGCGGGGGGCGGGACGTGGAAAAGGGCATGGGCGGGGGCGCGCGGGGCAGGGGTTGAGGAAGGGTGGCGGGAATCAGTAGCGGGACAGCGGGGAGGTGGGCGGGCGGGGGGACAGGGCGGCTTGAAGGGCGGGGGATGGGGGGGGGGGGGGGTGGATGGACAAAGCGGCGGGGGCGGCGCGGAGAGGGGCACAACGGGGGGCTCGGGAGGGGGGGGCAGGGAGGGGAGGGGGAAAGGGGCGGGGGTAAGATGTGGGAGCGCAGGCTGATTTGTCGAATCCGGAGGTGCAGTCGTGATATTCAGGAGCGCAACGAATGGTACGTCATGAAGGCTACTGTCAGCACTGTGGATATTGATGGCAGATGGCACGCGCGTTGCCTGCTGCGCGACCCCACTGTGTTGCCAACCAAGGAGCTAAACCAAAACAGTGGCAATGGCGTGCGTCATTGTTCCACCCTGTTAGAGAGACCTTAAACAACGCGCGTAAGTGCACGGGCAGGCCGAACGGCGCGCTGGGGGGCGCTGCGTTCAAGCGCAGGCGCCTCGGGGGGGATGCACGCGGGCCCTCGTTCTTCACGCGGCGCAGTCACGAAACAAAAACCTTTTCAGCGTTCCCAGCCGAGGAACAATTGTTGACGTTGCGCGAATCTCCACAAGCCCGCCCAGAAACGATGCCCAGAGGAAGCGCCTCGATCAGGGAAGTGGGCAGAACGCAGAGGAAACCATTACGAGACATCTTGGGATATATTGAGCCATCTTGGGGGACTTAACCTTCGTATAAACAATGATTTGGCATTCTCGCCGAGGCCTCTTGGAGCATGCTGGGCGCTGGGCGCCTCTTCGTGGTCTCTTGGGGCCTCTTGGGGGTCTCTTGGGGGCCTCCTGGGGGCTTCTCGGGGGCCTTTTCGGGGCC